GGTTAGCTACAAATGTATCGCAACGTAATGGAAGAAAAGGATTTCCATTTAATTAGTAATAATAGAGCCATCGTGTTTCACATTTTTAATCCCGCAAGGGATTGCGCTAACAGCTTTTTTATATGAACGGAATTGTTACCTAGATCTCCCTTACTAGATTTTTTTTGGGACTAAAATGTCGATGTGAGACCACTAAACCATTTCTTGGACATTTTTAGTTTTAGCAAAAAAATCAATACTTTAGGACAAGAATCATTTTTAACAAATATTGATTCTTTTGTTACATTATGATCGATATCTCATCTATAGTTGAATGAATAATTACTAAAATTTTACTGCACATACAACTAAATATCTTCTACAAAATAAAAATACAATCATCTCAGAAAATTGGTTTGTCAACGTGTGTGCAGTCAATCAAAAAGATTGTTTTACCTATAACTTGACTACAACTTTAAGTTGAAAAGTGAAATGTTTACCACAAATGCAATTTTATCCAGTTTATCAAATAACAGAAAAAAAACAAAAAAAATCAATGGTTCTTATAACAAAGATTCGAACTTCGAATCAGAGAAGGTCTATAATGTAATAAAGAATTCTCAAAAAATGATTCAACAAAATGGTACATTTACTCCCAGTTAATATTTATTTTTTGTTTCATTATTTCTTGTATCATGGGTGGGTGTGAGTGTGGTAGGTGTGGGTGCGGGTGGATGTGGGTGGGTGCGGGTGGGTGTGTCTGTAGATCTTCTCTTCACACCCACACCCTTGATGTAAACAAACGAGGGAAGGTCCCCAAGTGCGGGTCTGAGTTTTGAATGGGATATTTACCAGTTTGTAGAGCTCGACGAGCTGATTCTTGCGGTATATTTTATTTTTCCCATCAGAGCTTTATTCGTGCAGAATATGACTCAAAATATAGGAATTTCAACATAGTATTATCAAAGAAGATCAATCTTAAAAGCTGGTTGTAGCTGTTTCACTTCTCATTATCATATACCAATCTAGAAAATATTTAAAGATGTGTTATTTTTCACATCTTGATGTTATTTTTTCCGCGGTTAAACTGGTCGTGTAATACAGTTCTGGGAATACAAACTCGGTGAGAATAGTATTTTCTACCTTCGAAAGTGCCAGCTCTATGATTTTGGGTGTGGGTATGGGTGTGGGTGTCCTCTTGGCATTTACAACCACACCCACACCTACATCCACAGCCGCAGCCACACCCACACCCACACCCACAGCCGCAGCCACACCCACACCCACACCCACACCCACACCCACGCACACCCACACCCTTCTTTGGAGAACCAGCCTCCTGAGTCTAAAAAAACTATAAATCTGGAAGGGAGGGTCAAAAACGAAAACGGCCATAGCTGCGCGAATACGAGTACAACTTGTACTAGCATCTACTAGCACTGTTGGCATGTACTGTCATTGTACTTTCGTGTACTCGAGCACACGTACTACTATGATCCTCCTCCCTTTACCTCTGAAAAACCTAGAATTTCAGAATTTCATGTACTGGAACGTACTCTTCTGCACACATCACATATCTTTCTGCTGAGGGTGCTTGGAAATCGTGATTTGACATGAAAAAAACTGATTCCTTAGTGGATGAATTTAATCGAATTTCGTTGAAGATATTCGAATTTCGTATTTGCGATTCATCCCATACGGAAGGTATTTTTCATGTGGCATCAAGATTTCCGAGCACCTTCAGCAGAGAGTTAATGTGCTGATGTGTATGTTTCCGAATGTGTCTGTCTTTTTGGCCACCCGAATTCAGAGAAGTACTGTGTTTTTTCATCCTTCACATAACAAGAATGAATAAAAACGGTTTCTAACGTTTTCAGCTAGGGTCAGATTGGGATTATTTGAAGATCTGAAAATCTATAAAACATCACAGAGTTTCAATACCAATATTGGGCAAAGTTACTACAGAAATAAATAGAAAGATTTATTAAGATAGTATTGTAGTTTGTTCCGAACACGACAAAATTCTAATAATTGAATAATCATCTACTGGCATTTTTACCTTAATTTTGATTTGATTCTTTTCATGAAGGAATAGAATGAATCTTAAAAATCTTAGAAAAAAATTTGGTAACTCTTTTTGAAATATATATAAAAGTTGTTTCGAGATGTAGACTACAAGAATGAGTTTCTTTTTTTAATTTTATCAGGAAAAGAAAATTGAAAATCATTAAATTAGCTTGTTAATTTGAATCTAGCCATCGTAAAATCTTTCGTGAAATAGATAATTTTTGGGCATAAGTCTACTTTACGTAAACACCTCTGTTTTTACGATCTTATTGCTTCTCGGGTTTTTTATGCGTAGAAAACGATAGAAAAACTAAAAAAACGTGGCGGCCACCCATCAGGATCCCTTTTTAGACTGTTAGAAAGTTTTCAAAAGCGCTTGGTTCGCCTTAATTTTTGGATTAAATTTTGTTTCGTTCCAAAATTTTAGTGCTAGTTCATACTGTTCTTTTTAAAAAGTTTTCTCTGTTTTCATGTTTGATTATTCTTGAAGATATGCTGCTCAATATTCGATCAATTCTCAATTTGTGTGAGAATAAGGAGACTCTCGTTCACCAATTACAAGAATGGAATGTGATTTCCGAGGAGGGAAATTACCTATGCGCTAAATGTTCTGGCCCGCTTCGACTTAATGTCTGTTCTTCTGAGTAAGTTATTGATTATTATTGGTTTGTATTTTTTAATGACCTATTTCTTATAGTATTGATGGGTTCCGATAGAACTGTCACAACTGGTTTGAAACTGAGGGTGAAATGAATAAAAAGAGACTGGAAAAGAAGAGATGCACTTATGGAGCTCGATTTCGCAAAGGAACATTCTTGGCTCGATCTGATTTGTTCATTTGGCAAATCTTAGTTTTTGTGAACCTGTGGGTCATGAATGTTGGTTTGAACATTATTCGTAAGTAACCCTTGCAAATACGATTCTTCTTTTTGCGTAATTTAAGTATTTGTATTTTAGAATGGCAAGTGGAGATTGCCAAGCAGACTGCTGTGAATTGGGTGCGTGGGTGTGGGTGTGGGTGTGAAGTGTCGGTTCAAGAGAGGAGGAGACAGCCACGCCCACTTACACCCACACCCGACACCCACACCCACACCCACACACCCAAACCCACACCCACACACCCACACTCACATACCCACACCCACACACCCACACTCACACACCCATACCCACACACCCACACCCCACACCCACTCCCTCCATTGGCTCTCGAAGGACCAAGAACAAACGTTTTGAAGGATGTATTGAGACTGTGCAAGTAACACATGCCAGATCTTTTGATATGACAGGAAATTTTTCGATTTTTGCACGTTTTTCTTTTCTAATGGCTTGCCGATTTTCTAAGTTTCAGAGCGTTTTCTATATATAAATCAAACCTTTAATGCACTCGGTCATTTCTTTTTGTTTCTGTTGCTATATTTGAAGTTTATTATGTATATTTTATAGATACTTCGTTCCGTTCTAGCTGATTTTCTTCCATTCATTTAATTCGAATCATAAGACGTAATATTATGTACAACGATCAACCAAAAAAATAGGTGACAATCTAGAATGTATCCTTACTGATGTCGACACACATATTAGATGATGTAACATGCGACTTCAGGGTTACCGTACTCGATAGACATAATCGAAAGATTGATCTTCAATAAACTATTTCTTATTCCAACAAAATATCAATCTGTCATATTTTCAATTCGACCTTTTTTAGCACTGTTACATTTTATCCCATCAACTCATCTGCAAAACTCTTCTCATGGTTTACCAAATTCAGAAAAACTATGAATGTCATACGTTATAATTAAAGTACAAGACAATGTATTTCTGTGACAACTGTACTTCAATTTGTATTTATCAAATAGAATGTCTACCAACAAGTTCAGAAATAACTAAGTCTTAAAATGATGATCATTCAAAGAACGATGCAATTTTGAAAAAGCATTATATATGCAGACCTTATAGTTTATTTCAAATAAACAACATCGAAAGCGATCAACCTAAGCATAGGCAAGAGTTCAAGTATTGTACGTATGACATCGATGTGTAATTATTGCTTCTTCGGCGGTAACCATCTGAACATGTTCTTACCAATTAATGTCTGACTGAATTCCTTTTTGTAAAGAGTTGATGGTAAGATATAGAGAATGAAACCCAGAATTTGTGGTGCATAAGAAAGTAAATAGGCACAAAGTAATGCATGACGCTGCCAATCTTCCAGATGTTTACATGCTAAACTAAATGCGATTATGATTTGTGGTAGAGAAGACAATACAATAGTTATTGGTACGATATAAAGATCTTTTTGAGCTTGAAATTGTTTTTTCAATATTTGATAAAATGTTTTTCTTTCTCTAGTTGCTTTAAGTCGACTTTGAGCAACCTTAATAATAAGAGTAGTAATGCAAATAATTTGAATTGAGAATGGTAAGAGATAATGCATTAAAGTTGTAATACGATTGTAAGTCAAAATCGATTGAATGCGAATGTTGATGACACACATAAATGAATCAGTTGAAACATGTTGAATAATAGTTGAATAGATTATTTCATGTACATGCATAGCAAATATGATCACCAATGTAACTGTGCTCACTACAATAGCTATACGAGGATTTTTCGAAGCATTTCCATTTGGAAAGATAGTCATGAGAACGCCATGAACAGTAATCCAACTTGTTAGATAGAAGGTGGATCTCGGTAATACAGAAAGAAGATAGGACATTGCCTTGCATAAATGTTCATTAGGAATTTCAAATGTGAGTTCTAGGAGTTTGAGAAGTAAGCAAAGTAGAGCAGCCTGATTGAGACCCGAAGCAATCAATAAATAGTTACCAGCTGCAACTTTTCGAGGTGCAGACCTTTTGAATGTAATGAATGAACATATATTATTGAAAAGACCCACAATGAAAAGTAATAAAGCTATAGAAGTATAAATAATTTTAATCTTTTTGGAAAATTCGATAAGAAGTGAATCGAGAGTGAAACCAAATGCTTGTAAATTGAGTTCACAATGAGGTCCTTGATAACACTTTGGACAAAGACAAATAAAATCCTTTGAATTGTTTAGATCACCATGAAGACATTGGCCTTTAGATAAACATTTGCCACAATGATCAATTTGAGGATTATGAATGATACAAGCAGCTTCATAATGGTCTACTGAACAAAAACAGAAATAGATTTCATCATGAAAACAATATAGTTCAGTATTATTTTGACAAATTTGATGATACTTAAAAACAGCTGGTACAGATGGGCTACTATCTAAAAGAGAAACGAATGAATAATATGATTAGTATATATAAAATTGAATATTTGCCTTTATATAGAATTGATGAAGCATGTGAACATTGGTGAGGAAATGATGTTATATTGATGCTCTGTTCCTGTTTTACATACATAATAAAATACCGTGGATTTGTTTCATTCGTATAAATTTTCACAATACCCAGATGTGGTACATAAGGACCTTCATGAGCATAGTGAAATCTTGATGACAAACCATTCTGTACTTGTTGATATTGGATATGAAGTGTAGTTTTATTCAGACTGTACAGTTGAATAACAGTTGCACGAACAAACGAATCATTTTTCATATTGAGATTTATATGCACAAATGCTTTTTCTTTGGTACATTGATCACCATAGAATCTCGTAGAACAGTTACAAATGTATGATGTTTCTCTGTTTGAATGTTCTCGAACCAAGCAAGTTCCATTGTTGAAACAAGGATCTGAATAGCATGGATCATTTTTTAAAATACATCGTGGCCCAAAATAATTTAGTGTGCATATACAATATGGTCTTCTTTGATTCATTAGAATAGTATTATGATTAGCTCGACAAATAGAGTTTTTCGAACAGTACTTATGACAAAGAGATTCATATTTGCTACAATCTCTTCCGTAATAACCATTCTTGCATGAACAATAATAGGAATGATTGAGATTTAGAATTGGCGCGCAAATAGAATTTTCAGTACAATTATTTTTCAAGCAAGGATCAAGTGTAGCATTATCGAACCACGATGGAAATTTCAAGACAACAGCCAAACGAAATGCAGGTAAATAATCAAAGTAAACTGGATAATGCCATGAACCAATTTCTTTCATAGTTTTATTTTGTTCTGATAAGAAAATATCAAAATGAAGCGAATATGGATGGTTATTAATTACATCACTACGATTGAAATAACGTGCTCGTTTGTGTTCAAGCATATGGTCGGAACGTGAATATAAAAGATAAAATTTATGTTTCATGTTTTTGATTTTTGAATTTTGTCGAACAATGATAAATTCATGAGAATCGATAATTATATTGCGAAATAGAAAATTGCATTGAACTTTGAAGGTGTGGTCTATGATTATTCTCGGTAATGTTTCTTGGTCAAGACGAGCAATAACGGTGATTCGATCACTGAAAAATTCGCACCATTTTCCATAATATGCAGGTGGACACAAACATATAGTTTTATTTATTTGAAGAATAGCTACACCTCGATTACATTGATAAGAATGAACCATGAAAGAATGATTCTTTCGATATTCGATGTGTGAAACTTTTTCTTTGTTGGAAATAGACTGACTTGCATCTTCAAATGGAAATGTTGCAATATTGAAACTATACTCACTAGTGCTCTTAGATATCAATTTGTCCAAACGATAAGTGAATTGACCTGCGCCCATGCTAAAATCACACCAATATTCATCTTCTCCCTGTGGACAATCTGGTTTGCCGTCACACCTGACATTTTTCATGCACTTGTTATTTCCAAGACAAATGAAATCAAAACCACCAGAACATGTTTTGTTTTCATCTCGATGTTTGGAGCAGAGAACTTGCTTACAATTATGAGCGTATCCATCCAGACAGGCATATTGATGAGCTAAGATTGTGTTCTCACAACGAAGAGTAAACCCTAACATTGTTGAACCGATTTGAATTGTATTTTTTTCATCATAAGCATTGTAACAATCTTCGACACCGTCTCCAATTTGAGTAAAATTAATGCATGGACGATTGGTGACTATATCTAATGGATTTGATACTCGAGATAGATAGCAACCAAATTCAAAAGAAACATTGCAAATTTTAGAAAATGGTAATTGTGAATATTTTTTTCGACATTGTTCGGTTCGATTTTCCAAATTATACAGATTAGTGTTGTGAGAAGACCATTTTTTAATGAGCACAATAGCTTCTTCATCTGAAGCATCGCTACAATCCCATACTCCATCACATACCCATTCAACTGGGATACATTGACCAGTTTGACATTGATATTCATACTTTGGACATACCCAATAGCGACAATAAGAAGGTAATTCGTCAGCTTGTGCATCCATATCCCAAAAACCATCACAATACTGTCGAAATATTATATTAGTAAGCGATGCCGATGATTCCGAATGGTCAAGCGAATGATTACTAACTGTAATATTTGTAGATGACGTCTTGATATATTCTCTCAAAGTTTTACATGCTGTAATATCATGTTTTTCACATGATCTAAGTTTAGTACCAATCTTAACAGTACCATACCATAGTTCATCAAACATATTCGAACAATCATCACGTGTATTGCCCATCCCGTGCAACTGAAGGCAACTGTGTTCGTCATTAAAACATCGAAAGCGATGTCGACCGACATTTCCTGTACAATAATCTTTCTCGAATACTTCGGATTCATCTTGACCATCAGAACAGTCTGGAAATCCGTCTCGAATTCTATACTGTGAGATACAAGATCCTCCACTGCGGCAAACTTCAAGAGCAACAGCATACGGGCGACCATTGAATGTTAAAGATTCATTCCAACAGAACTTGTCACGTTGAAAAGACGAAAAGTAATTGCGGTTTTCGTGAAATGTACAAAGCATTTCGTTCGTACCACGCACTGCAACCCCATGAGACGATACAATTAACATTTGTTGAGAATCAGATACGAATTCATATCCTCTGCATAAAACTTCACCATAAAGTACGAAGATGTAATCATTCGGATCTTTTTGAGATAATTTTGACAAGTCGTATAAGATGTATGTATTGTTATTAATCACTCCTGGTGCTGGATAATTAACGTGAGATTTCATTGGACATACACGTTTCATTATTTCAATACAATCATAGTCTTTACATGGACAGTCTCGTTCGAAATTGTCCGTAAAAAAACATCGAACTAGATAATTGCATTCTTGATTTGAAACACTGCTTGTTGAATTGATGATATGCCATGGAGAGTTTAGAGGATCATCATAGTTTTCGTCAGGCCAACATAAACCATTAGCGAGAGTCCAAGTACGTCGATGAAAGCTCAACTCACACATAAAATTCAGATTTCGTTTGTTAAAACAATCGGTTGATCTTGGTAACCACCGTTGAAATGATATTCGATCATACCATGAAATGCACTGTCCGTCGCCACAAGAATATTCTTGACGTGAACACACATGCTCGTCACAATTCATTGTATTCGGAGTATAGTAGCATATGTCACTGTCACGTCTTACTTCGTCACTCCAGTCCATACAATCTGGATCATCTACAAAGATCAAATATATCATGAGAAAACCTATCATTTTAAGATGCTTACTATCAAGCCAAAATTCTTCTGCAATACACATACCATTGACACATCGAAATTCATCGTCTTCACATTCATTAAATTCCAACATATCCCAGTTTTGTTCATCCATGCCAAAGGAAGCCTGTTGATGACCATCGCAAATATCTCGCCAATCGAAGCACATACCATTGTCTGGATTACCAATTGTGTCATAACAAAGAATTTTTCCATATCGTTGAGTATTCCATGAATCACCTTCTTTCTTATCTTTAAATTGAGCTTCCATAGCTTCATGAAATGATGTAGCATGGTGTGTTAATTCATATTCACAGTATTTCCCAAATGTTCCTGGTTTTGTGCAGTTACAGAGGAACCGATCATCATCATTATCTGGATCATATTCAATTTGTGACTGATTGTAGAAAAGACTAGCATACATATCAGCCATTTCAATGCTTGAACTCCACTTCAGAACTTCGCTAGGTTGAATACCTTGATGAAATAGATCTCGGAATAGGTTTTTTTCACCTTGATTTTCACAGTAGTTACTCTTTCGATAAAGCTGTTCAATCCGATAAGGACGTCTACAATATGAAATATCCGTTCCATCCTCATTAATATCATATATACAATCGAATTTCTGAATCGCATCATTGTTTTCAGTATCATAAAGCAGAACTCGACCATGTGAAATGGTAGAAGCTAAAGTAAAAGCAGTTGCCAGAATCATCCACATCTTTAAAGTAATTCAGTGAAATAGGAAAGAATAACGTAGACCAGACTCTATCAATTGTCATCTATTTGCACAAAGAAAGAAAAAATAAAATAAAGACGTTATTCCTAACATTATCTGGTCTTCAAACAGTGTTCGATATGAACAAGGGAATAGGGAAATGACGCAGGCGATAGATGCTACGTGATATAAACAGAAAGAAGAAATAGGTAAACTCTCCCAAAGAGCAGAGCCCAATGCTTTGCTCTATAGTCAAAATTATATTAACCAGTCAAACTTGAGAAGTATGATGAATTTATTTGATAACTACTTCATATTAACATTTGCCATTTGAATGATAAACATCGTGTTGTTGTCAACTATGAGAATGTATGAAAGCATTGAATGAATAAAAACAAGGAAAAAGTCATGTTCAGATGAAATCCTTTTTTAAGCGCTCTTTCCTACAGAATTTATTTAGTCAATTTTGTCCTAGCTCCCCAATATTTTATATGCAAAATTTCTAGAAAAAAAACAATAAATGTTAGGGCATGCTAAAGAGATCAGCGTTTCGAAGAGATTTATTTCTAGTTAGGAAGATGATTGTTATTGTAGAATATTGGTCGATTCAACATGATCAATTTACTATGGCGATTTTGACCATTACAGTTTAATTTCATATCTTTTATGATTTTGAGAAAGCTAAAATCAACACTTAGTATGTCTTATTTAATAATAATATTCATATTTTGTTGTCCTTTATTTATTTATTAAGCACCCACTAATAACTGTGAAAGAATAACGTCATTTGAAATTGTTATGCTTATTATATGCCCACTTAATAAAAAAGATGATGGATGATGTTGACTGCTGCTTGGTTTCATATTGTTTGGAAGAATTAGTTAGAACAGATGAATAATGTTAGTAGGGGCGTTACTTTATTTTCTTTATAAGAAAGGATAAAGATTAAAAAATCTTTATTCTTTATCAAATAAAGATAATCAAATTCTTTGCTTTTATAAAATAAAGATAAAGAATTTGTTTGTATCGAAATTCATTTTCTTTTCTTTTTTTGAATTGCCTCACATAAAATGATCATATTACTTAGGGGTACCCAAAAGTAGTGGCGGAGGTATCTTATTTTCTTATAAAAGACTTGAGTAAATTTTCTTTTTCTATAGGATGATAGAGAAAATGAAGCTCTATTTTTCTATGCTATTTCATCTGTATTTATCTAGTGTTATGATAATGAAATTCTGACAACAACTAATTTTGTGTAAAATATAACCCTAATATTGAATCATATTTTTATCCATGCGCNAAAAAAATAAATAGTGTAATCTTATGACCAACATGTTACAGAGTATCACATATTGATATCAACGAACATCTAATTCTTATGTACTGTATTCTTCTAATTTATGTCGTCTTTGCTACGTTGTCTTAATGTTCTAAGAGATATTGATTTGTTGTCTTTTCAACAGTTTGGTGCTCCAAGACTCCTCTCTAAAGAAGCAACATTAATAATAACCACAATGGTAAATGTATAAATGCATGTAGTGGCTAACTATAGTATTTAAAAAGACGATTTCAAAACATTGTAAGGATCCTTAGAAAACCCATGCAATATAGCCAACACGACATAAATTAGAAGAATACAGTACATAAGAATTATATGTTCGTTGATATCAATATGTGATACTCTGTAACATGTTGGTCATAAGATTACACTATTTATTTTTTTTTCCATTTTAATCACATTTTTTGAATATATACTCTTTTTGCATAGTCTAGTTCACCATCTTCATTTGTCAAAGTTGTTTGAGACCAAAAAGAGTCATTCCTACAATGTAAACAATTATCAACAACGAGATTTATTATATATATTTCTAGTCCATCCTATTGGAAAAAATCACTTGTATAGTCTTCAGGAAAATGTGTGACATTTTTGAACCATAATAGCTAGAGAGGTCGGCCTTTCGCCATTTTGTAGAGGATCCTCTGGGCTATCTTTTACATATTTAAAACCGACCAGTCACTATAAAACTTAAGGCAACCACGTTCACATTTTTCAAAGATTGATAATGGACATTACTTGAAAAGTCGATGTTTTTCATCTTCTCTTGATCTATCGATAGAGGACTCCAAGCTCTACGCAATGGTGAAAACCGCAGGTTTATATCTCTTTTTGTTCTCGAGTTTTTCAAAAAATAGTCACACGCACGGACTTTTTGAATGGACTATACATGACTTGTTTTTCCATTGTATTATTAGATACAATCTATTTCCCTCGTGCTTCTGATGGCAGTCAACGATACCGTTGTGAAACTAATTCGTCTATTTTCGTCTACAATCCTCAAACTCGTCGCGTGCATCTTGTGAACAACAAACATTGCATTGTTGTTAACAAAAACTCATATCACTATCTTGCGACCAAAGATTATCCTACTATCAACGTGTTGAAGTCAATTAGTTGCTAACGAACAGCAACAAGTTGGTCGACAAGTTATCTTATGTGGAGCAATGAATTTCGTTTGGTTCGCGAGAAAATCAATAATGGCAAGGTCACGCTTCGGTTTATTTCACCAACGGATGGACGCGACTATATAATCTATATCCGTGGCAATATACTAATTGTAGTGGAAAAAGATGATGTAGCTCGAAGTGTTACACCAATTGAGAGAACCTACTTTAGAAATCATTGAAAATTTTGCACATACTTACTAACGAACTACCAATAAACACTGTAGATATAATAGACTCTACTTTTCAATTCTTAGGTTTCGCCAAGACTTGCATGTATGTGCTATATTCTTGAAAATTTGTATTGTTTACGTCAAGCCTTTTCTTGGTGTGGGTGTGGGTGTGGGTGTGGGTGCGGGTATCTGTTTGTATGAATGATACTAACTCACACCTACACACTTACACCCACCCACACTCGCCCACACCCACACCCACACACCCACCCGCACCCACAGCCCCACCCACACCCACACCCACACCCACACCCACACCCACACCCACACCCACACCCACACCCACACCCACACCCACACCCACACCATTGAATGGAACTGTAGCTTCATGTCTGGCTATGGCATTGGGTGGTTTCATTTTTTTACCATATTTTGCTTTACGTCGTAATGAGAACACAAAAAAATATCAAATGAATTTCTTGTTTCGAATTTTTGAATCGAAATTAGTTGCTATTCTTTTAACATTAATTACTATTGGTTTGATAATTTTTGCTGTCAACTTCGGTGATTTTCGTGTATTTCTTCATGAATTTTGGACTAATCGTTTTATTCACATAATGACCATCGACTTTTGTGTTGTTTCATTTTCATTTCTTCGTTTAATTAGCGATGATTTAACAGGAAGAAACATGTCTCGAAATGACCCATTACAGTTTTATTTTCGTCTTTGTTTCATTCCTTTGATCGGACCGTTGATCTATTTATACAATCGTCAACCCTTGCAAACAATAAGCAATCGAAAAACGCGCAATTAGCATTTGACAATAGTTTCGGTATGAACGCTTATTTTTTTTGTATAGGTTTGTTCAATGAATAAATTTATTGACAAATTCAATGTTGTAATAGCAAGAAAGCAAATAAAGACTTCGTGACACCCCTGAATATAAAAAATGTCGTTTTGCTTTCTCTCTTTCAGAATGTTATGTTAGTAAAAGAGGATGTGAGCGTTGATGGTGGCATTGGTGTAGATATCAGTAGTTGTGGCATTCCGTAAGAAGGAGAGTATCATCCATACCCTCAAGCTAGGCTGTTAACATTTCCTAATAAGATAATGAAGATATCATTTAGAATCGTGCATGAATCGGAATAAGGATAAGGCAATTTGTCAAAAAAGAATCAGACTTTAGTGTGAGTACACAATATTTAAAGCACTAAAGAGACGATTCAGATCTCACGTCAGTAGTATTTCATTACTTTGATCATTGAAACGACACTTCGGTCTTTTTTGTCTTCGACATCCACCGTGAAAGCTTTTTTCCCAGCAAGGTCTCACCGAGTTCCTTTTTATAGTTCGTTGATGGTAAGACATACAAAATGAAGCCAAGCACTTGTGGAGTATACGATAATAGATAAGTACATAGAAGCATATGGCGCTGTCCTTCGTGCAGATCTTTACATGCCAAACTGAAGGTGACAATGACTTGGGGTGCAATGGAAAAAATCACCAGTGCAGGTACAATATAGAGTTCTTTCTGATTTTCAAATTGTGTTGTCAGTGCTTGGTAGAAGTTCGTTTTCTGCCCAGTTGCTCGTACGCGACTGTGTGTTGCAAACACAATCAGAAGTGTAATGCTGATTGTTTGAATAAGAAACGGTAGAATATAATGTATAGGCGTGGACACTCGGTTGTAAAGTGAAACAAAACCAGTACCCATATCGGTAACACAAATATATAAACCCGTACGATGATCTTGAATGGTTGTGTAATAGATAGTTTCATGAATGTGCAAAACAAGAAGAATGATCAACGTCGCAACACTCAATCCAATGGCAAGAAAACGTTTTTTCAAGCGAAATAAACTGGGGAAAAGAATGATGAGAATGCGGTCTATGGTGACCCAACTTGTTAGCCAATAAGTCGATCGTGTAAAGACAGACAAAAGAGAAGAAATTAGTCGACATAACAGTACAGAAGAGATTCCAAAAGTGACCTGAATGAATTTGCTAAGTAAACAGAATAAAGCGAGTTGATTGAAACAAGTGACCATGAGCAAATAGTTCCCCGTGCCGAACTTTCGAGGTGTTGGTCGTTTAAAAGTGACGAATGAAAATGAATTATTGATAAAACCCACGAAGAACAGTAGAATTATGATAGAGAGATACACAATCTTTACTGATGTTGAAGAGGAAACAAGAAGTGAATCGAAAGTGAAACCAAATGCTTCCAAATTGAATTCACAACGATGTCCTCGATGACATGATGGGCAAAGACATAGAAAATCATTGGTATCAGTTGGATCACCTTGAAGACATTTTCCTCCCGAAAAACATTTCTCACAATGATCAAGTTGAGGATTGTGAATAAAACATTCAGCGCGAGAATCATCCGATCTGCAAAGACATAAATAGTTGTTATCATGAAAACAGAATCCTACAGTGTCATTTTGACAGATTCGATGGTATTGAAAAACGATTGGAACCGATCGATCAGTATCTGAAAGAGAATAATAAAATGAGGAGAATGCTTATGTTGTTAAGTGAAAATGACCTTTGAATGAAAGTGATGAGACATCTGGACAATGTACTGGAGATGAAGTAATATTGATCAGTGATTCAAGCAAAACATAAATGAGGAAATATTGTGGATCTTGTAAATTATCATAGATTTTGAGAGCTCCGAGAGGAGGCGCATGATTCTCAGCATGATAGAAAGTGATGGTCAATGGTAAACCTTCGTGAACTTTCTGTTGTACGATTTGAAGCTTCAAGGAAGGAAGCAAAATTTCGTAAAGTTGGACAACACTCGCACGAGCAGCAAATGCCGTTGTCATGTTTAGCTGAACACGAACAGATGTCTTTTCTTGTTGACATCGATTTCCATAGAATCTGTTTGGGCAGTTACAAACAGTAGGTTGTTCACCACTTAAATCATAAGAATAATGACAAGTTCCATTGTTTTTGCATATTGTCTGATCACATTGATCGAATTTCAAATTGCAACGAGTTCCGTAATGTCCCAGTGGACAAAGACAATGAAGTTTTGTTTCTTTGGTTCGTCGACAGAATGCATTGGGTGCACAATAAGTGTCACAGAGAGGTTCGTACATACTACAATTGATGCCATAATAACCACTTCGACATGAACAATAGTACGAGTTGTTTTGATTGAAAATCGGCAAACAAGTTGAATATTCATTGCAATTATTTTGTCGACAGCAATTAGATGATGAATGTTCAAACCAAGATGGAAATTTCAAGACAATTGCTAGACGAAATGTAGGTAGATAGTCGAAGTAGATGGGATAATGCCAAGCACCGAATTCTTCGAGGCGGCCATTCTGATGAAGAGCAAAGACAAGAAAATAAACAGCATAAGGATGATTGTCGATGATATCAGTTCGATTGAAATAACGATTATATTTATGTAGAAGCATTGAATGAGAACGTGAATAGAGAAGATAAAATTTGTGTTTGATCTTGGCTGTTTCAAGTGTTGGAAGAAGATGAAATTCATGCTGATCAATGATGGCCTCGTTAAAAAGAAAATTAGCTTGAATTTTTAGTGTCGTGTTAGAGATTGAATTTGGCAAAGTTTTCCGATCGAGATGAGCAATGACACTGAGTCGATCACTGAAGAATTCGCACCAACGACCATAATAAGATGGTGGACATAGACATCGAATGTCATTCATGTGCATGACACTAATACCTCGATTGCACATGTAGGAATGTAGCTTGAAAAGTTGATTATTATGAAAAGGGATAACTAGTTCTATTGCCTCTTGTTCAATCTTCGTTACATCGGACATTTTCGGATATCTGATCAATGACATATTAAGGTTCCGTTCGCGCGAAACCGTAATCTTATGGAAACGATAAATAGGATAATCCACGACGTAATCCGGCGCACACCAATATTCATCTTCTCCATAAGAACAATCGTTTACTCCATTGCATCTGGCTTTTTTCTTGCACTGATTGTCTTTGAGACAGATGAAATCGTTAACATCAGAACATGATCCATTCGCATCTCGATATTTCGAGCAAAGAATATCGATGCAATCATTCCTTCTGTTTATAGTGCAAGCTTTATTATAAAGTCCGTGGGTATTTTCACAACGGAAGTGGAAACCCCACATGCCTCCAACGGTTGATTTGGCTGCTGTAAATGTATTTTTTTCATCATAAGCATTGTAACAATCTTCCTTCCCATCTCCAATGTGAGTCAGGTTGATACACGGATGATTTAATGAAAAATTCAATGGTTCTGACACTCCTGATCGAAAGCAACCGAATTCCAAAGAAACATTGCAAATCGTAGAAAATGGTGAATGAGAATATTTTTGTCGACATTTGTCAAGCTGAGTAGATAAGTTTGAGAGACGCGCATTGTGTGATGACCATTGTCGAATGATCAGAGTAGCTTCTTCATCTGATGCATCTGCACAATCCCATTCACCATCACATAACCAGCTGAATTCTATACATTGTCCTGTTTGGCATTGATATTGATCAGAAGCACAGATCCAATATTGACACGAAGATGGGAGTTCGTCCATATGAGTGTCGAAATTCCACCAAGTATTACAATACGATCGAAAGGCTACTAGATTGGTTTGATTTTGTGTTGGAAAATGCACGAGTGAATGATTTCTGGTTGAATTTTGACTAGAAGATTGTCGAATGTAATGTTTCACTCGATAACAATCAGTAGTTCTACCAGGTTGGCATGGAATCTCCTGTTGAAGAGGAAGGCCATTTCCAAACCAGTTTAAATCAAAACTGTTCGAACATTGAGAGATCACTACTCCCAATTTATCCGATATTAGACATTTGTATTGATCATTGTAGCATTGAAAACGATGTCGTCCTACATTCCCCGTACAATAGCTTTTCTTCAGGACCATCGCCTCATCGTTTCCCACAAAGCAATCAAATGATCCATCATGAATTCGATATTGAGAGATGCATTGTCCTGCATCACATACATGAGGACCGACAGCATATGGACGATCGTTGAATGTCAATGACTCATTCCAACAAAACTTGTCATTTTGGAAACTTGATGTAAAATTTTGATTGACATACGTTGCATTTGGCAAGGTACACAGTTTTAGATTGATAAGAGGATTTTCAATCTGTTTTAGTGTCCAGGAAATTCGTAAGTGTCGTGTTATTGTAACCAAATAGCCTTGGCACTTCAAACTATCATTCAGGATGAAAAAATCAAAATTTTTGTTTCTCTCATATTGACGATAATTGTAAAAGATAAGAACATTTGCGTTGATTAAACCACGTGTAGGATAGATAATATATGTATCGTCTTCTGGACATATATCCATCATCATTTGTTTACAATTGAGATAACGACATGGACAATCACGTTCGAAGTTGTCAGACAAAAGACATCGAAACAAATATTCACATTTTTCTTGGCTGGTTAGATTTGAAACATCCGTCATGTTCCATGGAGGATATCGAAGATCATCATAATCTTCGTCCGACCAACATAAGCCATTCTCCAGTGTCCAAGCTGGTTGACTTGAACTCACCTCACACATATAATTGAGATTACGTTTACTGAAACAATCATTTGTTGCTGTTATTTTTCGTTGAAACGCCATTCTAGTCTTCCATGGAACACATTCTCCATCGCCACATGAATACCTGCCCGTTGAACACAAATGGTCATCACATTCCATCGCGTTCGGTGTGAATGGGCAGTGTTCTCCAAAACTATACCAATATTCATCACTCTAATCCATACAATCAGGATCACCTATCACAATTATCAACCTAATGAATGGCTTTGAAGATTACATTGGAACTCACCATCAAACCAGAATTCCTCAGCAATACACATGCCATTCGTACAACGAAATTCATCGTCTTCACATTCGTTGAATTCCAATTTATCACAATTCTCTTCATCGATTCCATTCGAACATCTTTGAATACCATCACAAATCTCTCGCCAATCAAGACACAAAGGGCTTGAATCACAAGGCAATGTTTGATAGCAGAGAATGTCACCGTATCGCTGTGTATTCCATGAATCCTCATTTAGTTTTTGTTCAAATTGAGCTTTGATCGCTTCACTGAACTTCGTTGCATTATGACTCAATTGATATTCACAATACTTGCCGTATGTCCCCAACTGTGTGCATTGACAAATAAAACGATCATCGTTTTCTTTGATCAGTGATCGATTGTAGTAGACACTAGCATAAAGATCAGCCATTTTTACACTTGAATTCCATTTGACAACTTCATTTGGTTGAATATTTCGATCAAGAAGATCCAGAAACGATTTCTTCTCTCCCCCATTATCACAATTTGTTTGGTGTTGGATCAGTGTGGTATTTCGATCGGAACGTTGACAATAGGGGATTTCTTCCCCCATATTCGGAATGTGATAGATACAATCGAATCTGTCTGTCACTAGATCATCTTCAGTGTTATAAAGAAGAATTTGACCCGATGTGATAAAGACAGTGAGAGTGAAGGCAATTAATGCAACTGTGAGCATCTTTGAATAATCTCTCTCTGACAATGAACAACAACTGAATGCCTATTCTATCAATATTAACATGTTTTGATGGAATCAGCGACAAGTCAAAACCAACACGTTTACATACATCCGTCCTGGCTCTCTCTCTGTCTCTCACTAGACTCTACTGACATGTGACGTTGGAAATAATTGAGATCATTCATTCACCAATTCATTAACGACACGCACATTAACAAAACTTTGTTGCAGCTTGGTATCGCTATCATTTTGACGCTTTCTTTTCTGGAAATCATGGATCATGTCTGGACAGGGATGGGTATAGATAAAGTTAGAAATTAAAGGTACTCATGACAATCGTCTCGGCATTGTTAAATAGTCATCATCAGGTAAATTTGGAAGTCATCTCTAAAAGTTCGATTAATTCATTCAATGCAGTTAATAAGAATCAAAAACAATAGACGACTTTCAACAAATTTCAGGGTGTGGGTGTGGATGTGGATGCGGGTGTGGGTGTGGATGTGGATGCGGGTGTGGGTGTGGGTGTGAGTGTGGATGTGGATGCGGGTGTGGGTGTGGGTGTGAGTGTGGGTGTGGGTGTGGGTGTGGGTGTGGCTGTGGGTGTGGGTGTGGCTGTGGCTGTGGCTGTGGCTGTGGCTGTGGCTGTGACTGTGGCTGTGGCTGTGGCTGTGGCTGTGACTGTGGCTGTGGCTGTGGGTGCGGATGTGGGTGTGGATCAGATAAAGACTAATACCAACTCCCCCCCCCCCCCCCCCCCCCCCCCCCCCCCCCCCCCCCCCCCCCCCCCCCCCCCCCCCCCCCCCCCCCCCCCCCCCCCCCCCCCC